GAATGGGCCTCTTTCCCTTCATTTCTGTTCACTGCCACAAAAGCAGCTTTAAGAACAGCTGATTCAAAAAAAACCAAACAAACAACCAAATGTGTTGGACGACGTTACTGGGGTGAAAAAAAGAAAGAAGATTTGGGACAGGAAAAAAAAAGAAGAAAAAAAAAAGAACAGTATTAAAAACTAGGTTATGGCAGTGTTAAACACCTAGTAAGAGAAGACTCGGCATGTGTGTGAGGTAAAGTGACACATTCCCTTTTCTAGCAAGATAAATAAAGCTCCATCTGAGGAAGCTGTTCTTTGCAGTGCAAAGCTCCCAGCAATTCAGGCCGCAATAACTGCAGCCTCTGCCAAGAGGCTGGGCTAGGCAGTGCATCCACACTTCACAGGCATACCAGGTGAACATTTCTAGCCACTGTTTTAGGTCATCCCTCAAAGGTTCACCTCTTCAAGAAAGCAACTAGGAACAAGCTAATTACTGAAACACTTACCGAAAGAGGAGGTGGTAGCTGGACCATGTAAGGGGGAGGAGGTGTGTCTGTTATTTCTGGATCGTCATGTTCACTTTCACTGTAGCATTCTGAGGCAGACATGGAAAATAAGGAAAACCAAAGTGTTACACCAAAAGTCATTTTCATTCCTTACAGCCCTGTGGTAACCAAAGCTGACCAAGTAGAATGTTCTGGGCTAAGGACAGCGCTCTAACAAGTCAGTGTCTCCTACAGTGAAAATCAACCTGCTTGTGGTAATGTTACGCTATTCATAGCAACCTTTTTCCTTAGACAAAAAATTGTAAATTGCTGTGGCAGGAAACAGTAGGTGGCACTGCCCAAGACAGCTTCACAAATCGATTTGGGGAGGGGTTTTTCCCTCCCTTTGCAGCCTTTAAAAGAAAGTCTGCCTCATTTGAGCTAATACTTAGGGAAACCCGTTGCAAGAAGTAATCACCGTAACTAGTAGGTTTATCTGGAGCTAGCTCCAGGTGTTTTGGCTGCAATTTTGGAGAAAAACAGATCGGTTGCATGGTGCTTTGGGAGTCTGCTGTCACCACACAGTAACTCCCATAGGCATTTTTAATTTTTTTTTCACATCCAGCCTCTGTAGGATCACATCCTGCCCTGCACCACATGGAAAAGATGACAGTGCTCATGCCCACCCAACTGAAGTGGGGATATGAAGGTAGCAAAGACACAGTCAGATCTCAGTGATGACAACATGAGTGGGTGCTGAGTGCCACAAGAGTAGAAGCCATCCCTGTGGTCTCCACAGGAGGTGGAACTGCCTCTCCCTCCACCAGCTGTGTCCCTGGGCAGCTGGGTGTCTGCTGGAAGCAACCCTCCAGCTCTCTCCCCAAGTGAGTGAGTGTTGTTTATGTTCTGGGAGTACTTTTAAACAGCTGGACTTCATGGGTCCACACCACTAGAAAGCAGCATGTTAGCACAGTCTCTAGGAAAGCACCTGTGAGTATTTAATCTTATAACTAAGTTGATACCCACACACTTTATTTTTGTGTATGTTATATGGGGGTTCTAATAAGCACAGTGTGAGAGGAACAAAGTTTTAAAAGAGAATTTTATGCATGAGAGAGAAGTTTGTAAAATGCTAACAAAGCAAAATTTACAGCGATTAATTACTTTTTGTCCATGTACTGTTTGCAGAAAATGTAATTGCATAGCTACTATTCTGTCTACTGGAAATATATGCTGGCACATTTTAACATGATGGACTGAGACGGGCTACAATTAGGCCTATATCAAATTCTAAGACTCTCTTAACATCTTCTTTAATAACTCTTAGTAAAAAGCTTATGGTTTCTACAGCTCCCCTTTTAGGCACACAGAAGAACAGAAAACAGAAGAATCAACAGCTGTTTCTGATACTCTAAATAGGCAAATGGAGCTGGAAGGGGGTGTTTAAATGCATAGAAAGTATGTGAACACACAAAAACTGCCAGAACAAAAGCCAAGACCCTCCTGAAGAATTATGGTGTGTGATACAGAGGGCAGAAG